AAACTCAAATGCAAGAATACTGTGGGTTTGTTTTTTTTTTTAATTTATAAAGTAACATCACCTTCTCATGCCCAGAATGAGGTAGTAGCCTGTGCGTTTGTGTGGAAAACAGAGGCTATCAAACCCGCCTCCCGCCTCTGAAGTCCAATCATCAAGGGATTAGACGCTGGTCAAGGCTACATGTATGTTACGTTAACATACAGCCGTCCAGACGTTCTCCACTGCTATGAATGTTTACCCTCAGCATTGTTACCGTATGATTCGCGCCCATTGATTGTTATTAACCGCGTAGCCTCCACACGTGCTGGAAAGTTGACAATAGGAGCATTTTGTGAAATTGTTTACACAATGCCGCGCATCGAGATGTGTTTCCTTTAGTGTGCGTGCTTACACAGGGGTTATAAAACTTTCTCTCGATTTTAAACTGAGCCGCCTTTTTAATCTGTTCCTAAACAGACATGTAAATACGCTCTCCGTGTCTGTCTCATGACTTGGTAAGCCTTGCCGGACAAGTGGTTTGTCCATACACCCACCAAACTTGCTTCACCCAGTGCAATATGTTTGTTTACTGCTCGTGTCTTTTTACGACTGTTTTGCTTTTTAGAAAATTGGTAAATAAAGCAAGTATATTTTTTATTGTTCCTTGGGTGTATTTTGAATGTAGCACAGAGCAATCACAATGGAGATCAAAGATTTCCAAAAGGTGTGTCTCAACAGAGAACTCCAGAAATGCCGTATTCGGGACAACTTCTGTCACAGAGGCCTCCCTCACCCCTTCCGTTGCACAGCTGGTCCCTTCCCGTGTGCGTGCACGTGCGTCTCTCTTACGTGCATCCTCACCACATGCTGTCGCACTGCCCAGTGAAGTCTTAGGATGTGAACTTCATAAAATGTAGATCTAATCATGTAATCCAGCGCTCCCATGGGCTTTTCACTTGCAGATGCAGGGGTGAGGCTGCTTGGCTCAGCCCCGAGCTCTTCTCCACTCCAAGGTGACCCCAGGCACCTCCTCTGTTTCCCTTGTGCCCTGCCCTGGGTGTCTGTCCCTTCTAGAGGAGCTGGCCGTGCGCTGGCCACAGGGCCACGGGCAGAGGTCTGAAGGACGCCAGCCAGAGAGGCTTCCTGTCTCTGTCGAAGGTGATGGGGCAGAGCCACCCAGTCCCCTCACTCCACACGCCCTGTCCTTCTTTCCACAGTGATGGAGCCGTGTGGGGCCCGGGCAAAGCAGTGGGGTCCTGTTCCCCACTTCCTCCCACTTTTCACACCAGGATCATGAGGAATGGAGCAGAGACATGAATGGATCCTGGACCCAGTGCCCAGCTTCCCAGAAGCTCTCTGAGCAGGAGGGGGAGGCTTGAGTCCCTGCCTTCTGGCTTCATGGTGACAGGAGGGATGGCGTGGGGGTGAGGGAACAAAGGCAAAGCCCTCCCAGTAAGCACAGAGGCCTCTGCAAACTGGCCTTAAATGGCCAGAGAGGGCTGTTTCACCAAACTGACTGCTTTGGGGACTCTTAATTGCATTTTTATTTACCATATAACCCCAAAGGCACCCCCCCCCCACCCCGCCTTTATTTCCAGACCAAAAGGGGCTTCTCCAAGCTTTCTGGGCTGATTGCCCACAAGGGGCCTGAATGTCCATAGGCTGGCTGCTGCCTTTGTTCCCTGGGGATTTATGGCCTGCCCCCCCTGCCGCTAACTGGTCCCCCTGTGGCCACTACAGCCCTGCCCAGCCTCTGCTGGCCTCTGTTCCTGGATCTGGGGGGATCAAAGGGCCCAAATGCTCAGGAAGTCTGTGCTCAAGCAACCTTTGAAGGTAGGATCAGTCCAAGGGACAAATGGCAGGAAATGGGTCCACTAGAGGAGGCTGTGCAAAGGAGAGAGAGAGAGGGCCTGGTGGCCCAGAGATGGAACAACCAGGCTTCTTGGAGGAAAAGGCCAAGCCAGCCAACCAACTAAGGGAAATTGAGGCTAACTTCAAAGATGGGGCCTTGGGCAACTTCTGGTCCAACCAAGGATCTTGTTGACTCCTATACCCTGCTCTGTCCTTGTACCTCAGGGTATTTGGTCACACTGAGGCATATCCTAGCACCTAATTTCTCCTTCCTTCAACTCTAGACAGTGTTCCTCAAACCCCACCTTCCTTTGTAAGACAAGCTTTTGGAGGACCTTCGCCCTCCCTTCAGCCTCCTCCCTTCTCATGACAATAGTCACCTATCCTTTGTTTTTATAAAGTCAACTTTATTTAATGTCCTGTAACCATAATAAGACTTTCTTGCCTTCTCTACAGATTGATCCTAAATGTTGAACCCCCATGAACAGTGTTATATTGTTGTGACTGTGGAAGAATTGTTAGCTTCTGAGTCAGTCAGTATGTTGAGATCACAGTTCTCTTTGGGAGGAGCTTTTTGTTTTTCCTGGAATTACTAGTTGCTTCTCATTTTTTGCTTGCACTATCCGCCTTTATCATGCCTTCCCCCCCAAACCCATACTCCATCTAATCAAGTGTTCTATTGATCTTTTCCCAAAGGCCTCCCCCAGAGCGCTGACCATCCTGTTCCAACATGGACTGCCTCTCATGGAGAGCATTCTAAAATACCTGTTTGGTCTTATTCAAACAATACAACGGATAAGGGGAGGCATATTCATCAGACCACAAGAAATAGCACTGAGTTTATTTTTTAATATCTCAGATTCTCAAAGTAGGGGTGGAAACATAATTGTAGTTACTTGGGGGTCTCCTTCCCTGGAGTGATGTCTAAGTGATTAAGAACAGTAAAGTCACAGGCCAGTTGTGTGCTCTCTTGGGTTCCACACTGAAGCCCCTCCCCTCCCCTGTGAGCCCCACCACTAGGTGTAGGGAGAGAAGGGCAGTTGGGGTTCTGAGCAGCCAGATGAGGGGGAAGGAAGGAAGAGAGCTGAGCTTTCTGGCATGTGGAGGAGACCGAGAACAACAAGGGAGGATTGAAATAGAGGAGTGGGTTTCTACCTGGCTGAACAATGCTGGGCTGGTGAGGTCTTCGAAGACGGCCCAAAGAGAAGCAAACAAGAGGCTGAGTGTGGACAGGTGAAAATCAACAGAAGAAACTCTCGGGTACTTGTAGAGGTCAGTGAGGTGACTTTGGGAAACTGCAAACCTCTCATCAAACTTGCCTGCCTGTAAAGGTCCTTCTGGTGGGGAGCCCAAAGTGAAATACTCACAGGGAGGGCTGCAAGATCCACCTTCAGGTGGCTGGGGTGGGGGATATCTGTGGCCTAGTCCTACCACCCGCTACAGTCCTTGGATGTTTCCTTCCCTCCTGCTTTCCAGCCAGGCTTGGGGCATCCCCTCACCCTGCCTATCCACCCCGGCTCTGCCGAGGCCCAACTCTGCTGGAGGTAGATAGGAGGTCCTAGGTACCCTTGACGAGGGATGGTTAGAGCTTGGAGGGGTGCAGACCAGACCCTGACAATCCCACACCCTGGTGAGTGGTTCAGGACTGGGTAAAGGCAGGACTACTGTGGGGCAGGTGCACTCCCACCAGCAAGAGGAATAAGGAAGCAGAGACCTAAACAGTGAGGAAATAGACATTTGAAGGTGTTTGAAGCATTCCAGGTGGAAGGCTCGGTGGGTGCAAAGGCCTGGTGGCCAGAACCCATCTTGCCATTCCAGCTTTGCTGTGCTGTGAAGGTTACCTAGGCCGGTGGAGCAGGGAACAGGCCGGGATCCCCAGGGTGCTGCCCCAGGGCGCGGGCCCCACCGACCATTCACCCCACCCGCGGGGAGGCCAGTCTGGCAGATGGGCGGCCCGCGGTGGGGGCGGCGGTCGTCTGGCGGACACAGGCTCACCCGCCCTCCGCCGCCGGACAAAGCGGGCCTAGACAAAGGCGCGGCCAACACCTGTCGCTCTTGGCTCGGCCCCCGCTTTTCTCCACCGAAGCGGCTGCAGCTGCCAACTGTCATGGGCATCAAGTTACGGGGACCAGACGGCGACCTACGCGAGCCTGGGCGAGGGGAGGGCTGGGAGAAAAGGGAGCCGAGGGGGAGGGGTGGCGGGGGACGAAGGAGACTGCCACAGGGAGGGAAGCCGGGACGAATGAACGAGAGTGGGGACCAGGGAAGGACGGGCGAGGAGCGGGGAGGGCTAGGAAGAGTGGGCGCGGCGGGGAACCAGGGCAGGGTGTGTGTATGGGGGTGGGGAGGGGGAACTGGGAAGGAGGACAGGGAGATCAGAGGGGGACAGGGGAGCGAAGGCGATTAGGGGGACATGGAGAGCTCAGGGGGACAGCGATGATGATTAGAAAAGAAGGGGCGGCTGGTGGGGGCGTGGTACCAGAGAAGGAGCGGGGGAAGGGTGACCAGAGAAGGAGCGTCCCGAAGAGGAGGGGCGGTGTCGCCGGACCCGCCCCACTAGGATCCCCGCGAAGGCGGAGGGCTGTGTCGAGGGTCGAGTGGGGACCCACACTTCCGCAAGAAAGTCAAAGGAGTCCTGGGGCCCGCTCCCAACGCCAATACCCCATGGGTCTCTATCTCTCCGGGGTTCCGCAGCTATCCCAACCCGGACCCTTAGACCTTCCCAGGTCCAGAGACCGCGGCCTTGACTGTGGTTCTGCCCTCCACAATCTAGCACCCCGACACTCGGGCAGGAGCGCTCCTCTCCGGAGGCACCTTGCACGAACTAAGACAAGTGTGAATGCACGAATGAGCTCCTGCTCCCACGCACAGCAGACCTGGGGGCCCTGCTCAGGTAGGGAGGAAAACGAACGCACCCCCCGTCACGGCGCACCGGGTCACCGCCCCCTCGGGTGCCCCAAGCCGCTGGCGTTGCGCGGAGGCCCGGCTGGGGGCCCCGCCCGCCGGCCACGCCCCACCAGCTGCCTGTGGACCCCGGCGGCGGGGCCGGACAAAGCGCGCCGCTCCCATTGGCCGCGGCGCGCCTAGAAGCCGGGGGCTCCAGGGCCGCGCGGCCAATCCGCGCATTGAAATGCAAATAAGGGGCTATAAAAGGGGCGGGGCCTCGGCCGGCGGAAGACGCGAAGGAGCGAGGGCCGCGGCGGACCCAGCGGCGCGCTGCGAAGGGCGCGGGCGCTCGTCGCGCTTGCGGCGCTCTGGGCGGTGCGGGTCATGGCTCCGCCCCTGGCGCCCGGCCGGGACCGTGCGGGCCGAGAGTTTGAGGACGCCTGGGAGACTCGGGGGGACCGCAAGGTGCGGGCCGGGGCCGCAGGCGGGCAGGCGGGCGGGAGGCCCGGGACCTGGGCTCAGTCGCCCGCTTCCCGCAGGCCCGGAAGCCCCTGGTGGAGAAGAAGCGGCGCGCGCGGATCAACGAGAGCCTTCAGGAGCTGCGGCTGCTGCTGGCGGGCGCCGAGGTGAGACGGGCGCGCGGGCCGGCGGGCGCCCGGGGGCTGCTGGGCGGAGAGCGGGGGGCGCGGCCCTG